ATAGTTGGTAAAAATCCATTGAATACTAATAATTTTCCCCTAATTTTGTTGTTTAAGTTAATGCTAATTAATATTAATGTACTTTAATTTTATTTAATATATTGACTTTTACTTAATAGGCAGGTTTACGACATGTCTACTTCTCATTATATTCAATTAAACGCTATTTAGGGTTATTTTTATAATATATAAAAAATATATAAAAAAAACTAAAATAAATACCGAAAATTCTTTTTTTGCCCCTTTACTAACCAATTAACGGGACCTTTGAATAAATATTTTTTATTATTATTTATTAGCCGAATTAGCGAATGCTATATTACTTTTAATGCGAAAGTTTGGCAAATTTACTGAAATAAAGTTAGAAATCGTTAAATTAAGTTTTTTAGCGTAATTTCGAAATATGTAATTTGATAAAAGCGTTTCCTATAAATGAATAAAATAAAATAATTAGTTGTATTTTTTAATATTAGACTTTTTAGATAATGGCTATATATAAAATTAAATTATTTCTTTACTAATATATTACGATATAGGGTTTTGTAAGAAATTTCCATTTTTTTAACAGGTTTCCCGCCAGCAAGAGCATTTTAGCCAATTTTTAATTGGTTAAATAGAAATGATAAGCGATTTTCCTAATATAGTTATACTTCCTAATTTATAAATTCTTTAAATAATATATATTTAAAAGCCAATTTTGTATTTCAATTATCTTTTTTTGTTGACGGTGATTATATAAGATATATATTATTATTAAGATCATATGTTTATTCAAAAATAAGTAAGAATTATGAAAAATAATTTTTAACCTTAACTTTAGTCCGATCATTTATTATTATAAAAACGGTAATCGATTAATCAACATAAAGTTTAATTTAACTTTAAAACTTTATTTCGACTGCCGAACCCGGGAAGCGGTAAAACGTAAACTTTTTTATTAATTATTATTTTAAAAAGCGATAACTGTATTTTATTAATTTATTTCAAAGTTAAAAGTGACAATTAAAAGTAAAATAATCTTAAATAGCTAATTAAAGTTATTATCTTAGAAATAAATTTATTAATTAGTTGCAAATTGTTTCGAATGTAAATTCACGCCTTAGATTATAATATACTTTTTTTTACGAAATTTATACATAAAATTTTATTTTAGTGAAATTGGGCAATTATATAATTCGGCTGGAAACAGTATAACATTTAATATCTTTATTTTCATAAATTAGTTATATTCGATTTAGTAGGCGGTCAGTTATTCATTTTTATAAAATATTTTTTTTTTAATTTATTAGTTCTGCAAGTATATTTTTCGATATAATTTTTAAATATTCTAAGTTGCGGCAAATGCTTACATATAATATAACGTTATATATGGCCGTTTTAATAACCTATTATTATTAAATAATTCGGATCTATACCGTTTTAGAAATAGTAGCTTATAAAGATCGTTATAGTTTATTGAAATTAAAATTTGAATTATCGATTAGAATTTGCGGTAAAATAAAAATAGGTAATAAAAATTAATTATTTATGATAAAACTTTTTAAATAGACTAGCTAACTTCCTTAATAAGATTAAATTAGTTATTAGTATTATTTTCCGCTAGTTTAATAAAATTATCATTTTTAATCGTTTAATAATTTTAATTGGATTAAATCAATTTTTTGAAAAAAAGAGATTTTATTTAATCTTATCCGATCTAATTTAGCTTAAAAACCCTTCTTTGACCGAAATTATTCTTATAAAATATAATTTTACCAAATATATAATTACATATAGAAATAATTTTCTTCTAATTTTGTAGCTAAATCTTCTGGTTGATTGATTGAGTCTATTATCCTCCATTTCGGCACCTGTACGGGGCCCCGCTGGAGTTTGTAGTAGTAGTATAATATCCAGTGACTTAATATAATTAAACGTTTAGCTGACTATTATTAATTATGCAAATATTATATATTTCGTTTAACTAAAAGCCCTCTAATATTTTAATATATAAAGATTTATTATATGTACCGCCAGTTTATTGCGAGATCATAATTTTAGATATACAGATAAGAAATATTTACTAATGAATTATTAATATTTCAGTAATTAGCTGCTTCCCTAGAGCGCACCCATAACTAACATTTAAAAAATTTGCTATTGAGGGCCCATTTACTATAATAATAATAGTGAATGAATGGAGGTGCGGTAGAAATTCTAAATAAAATTATAATTATATATTAAAAAGTTGCACAATCAATTTAGCACAAAATAGCGCCAAAGGTAGACATTAAAAATGTAAACAAGGGCTATAGAATATCGTAAATTCAATAATTAAGAGTTATCTTTTTAGTATTTGAAGTATCAATCCCTTTTCTAAAACACCGAGCTAAAGTAATAAAGACCTAATGTAGTTAAGATTCTTTCAGTTATTTAAACGGACTCCTGCAATTAAAACTTTTATTAACAGTAATCAATATGAGCGATATTACACAATCTGAAAAATTGCGAAATAGTTAACGTTAACTAAAATAGTCAATATTTCCCTTAATATTATAGTAGCAATTAATGTCAGCAATACTATATAATTTAAAGGTAGCGAAATGACTGACGTCAGTTATTTTTAATAAATAGTTAACGTTACTTTAAATTATTTCTAACGTTATAATAGCGATTAATGTCAATAATATTATACGATTGAAGGGGTGGCGAAATAACTAACGTTAACTATTTCTGGTAAATAGCGGGCATTAACTATACTTCACGTTATAGTAGTGACTAATATCAGCGATATTGCGCGATTTAAAAGGTAGCGAAATAACTGATATTAACTATCTTTAGTAAATAGGAAATAATCGATTCCAGGATTAAGGGAGGTCCCCGGCGTATGAAAATTGATTTATAAGTAGAGATTAATTCGTAAAAAAAAAGTATTATAAAAGCTTATTTAATCCCCTTATAATCGGTCGTCTCGACCGCGCAAAAGTAGAAAAAAGTGGGCTTTTTATATCAATTTAATGAAATAATCGGTAGGAAATTAAAAAATTAAAAAATAACAAAAAGTAAGCTTTTTATATTGATTCAATAAAATAATCGGTAGGGAACCAAAAAAAAAAAATATTTTTTTTGGGTTTTTTATATCGATCTGAGAAACGGTCCCAGGGGCATGTATAGAGCGAGAGATGTACTACCGAGGCGGAGGGGTTTTTCACCCGGTAGGGCCTCCGGCCCTATACGGTCTTCCCCCCTATTTAGCGAGATAGACTAGATGGCGATTGGCCCAACGGAGTAACAATATTACTATTGTTATTAATATATAATATCGATTCAAGAAGACAATTGGTAAAAAACGAAAAAAAGGTAGAAAAAAGTAAACTTTTCATATCGATTTAACTCGACGATCGAAAGGGAATGAGAAGAGAAAAATATTAAAAAAATAAGTTTTCTATATTAATTTAACGAGACGACCGGTGGTATCTAAATCTTTTATATATTATAAGTAACTAATATAAACTATTAGATAACTAATAAATACATGAAATTATAGTTTATTTAACTTTAAAATATTATTAATCTAAATTTAGGTTTGGCAGCTATAGTATACTATATTAGTAAAGTTAAGTTTTCAATTTAAATAAGATAGTTAATTAAACCAAAGTTTTTTTATAATATAGTTTATTTTAATGGTTAAATTGGTATTACATTTAATATATATAGTGTAATATTACTAATATATAATATCTTAACCTATAGAAATGCGGCTAACTTTTTAAGTCTATAAAAAAAAATTTTAATTTATTTAGGGCTCCGGAACATTCAGAAAAACTATATTATTCGGATTGACCGGATAGAGTAATATATAGGATAAAGCTTTTAATTAAATTAAAATTGTTAAATCCCGAAAAGCTTCGATTTTAAATAGAGTGAAATCATTTAAAAATTATATAATACTAGTATTCAATAAGCTGAATTATTAAAATAATCATGTTAGTTATATAATCTTTAGTAAGGATTATTAAGGCCATATAATATTTATTACGAAAACAAGTTAAATAACGTTATTCCCGACCGAGCGGGCCACCCACATTGAATTTTGACAGCTCATACAAAAAGAAGGCCTTTTTATACAACAAAACAACGCGAATTTCACGATATAAGTTAAACCGCGCGCGTAGGGCACCTAGTTCTAGTATGGCCTTGAATATGACAATTAGAACATGTTGGTGGAGCTCTTCTTGGCGCTCCTGAAGGCAGGATTCGGGCTGCAATATATTGAGCTTCATCTTCATTCTTCTGATCATTTCTACGCTGAATCAACCCCCTAGTCTCCTGTACGGAGAGGCATTCATTCGAAGTCATTTGACGTCTTGAGCGGTCGCTATTCATTGGCTGCACGTAAATCGTGATTTTATTTGCTTAGTATAGCAGCGCTCTGCATCGCGATCTCGCAGCCTTTTATGACCTGCCGAAGAGCCGATTTTGAAGGCGTAGAAGGGCTTTGGGATCCCCTTTTAAGCAGTTTCCTGATTGATGAAGCCTGCGTTCTCAATTGATATACCGTATGAGGCGTAGCGAGCGTAGATGAAGCCGATCCACGACTCGCAGGTGGTGTAGGAGTTGCTAATCGTGTATTTAACTTCTCAAGGACTGCCTCCCGTTGAAAGGGCAGTATACCAGCTGCCGCGAAGCCACTTTAAATGCTTGAAGCCGTAAAAACGAACGAGTTTGTGAGCGGCAGGATACACCTTCAAAAAATCGAGCTTATCAATATGATTAAAGCCGTTTTTCATCCGCTGCTCAACGAGGCCTCCGTAGGCCCTTTTTAGAGGGCCAAAACAACCAACATCAAGCGGCTGTAGGAGGTGTGAAGAATGCGCTGGCATGCATAAAGCAATAATCTTATTATCTGCACATGTTTCATCGAATGCAGGCGTGAGGTGGCTTCCATGGCCATCTAGTATAAGAAGCCGGTAAGATCCAATCGTACGCTGAGATGTTGCAGGAATAAAGACTTTTTGAAGTCATTCAAGGCTTATTTCATCGGTAGTCCAGCCGTTGGCACTAACTTTAATCTTCCAATCGCCTGGAATACTGCATTCTTCATACGAATCCTCTATATGGAGCTTTCCTTTGAAGATGACGCAGGTAGGGATTGACCAACCGCTTGAATTGATGCATTCAATCGTCGTCCATTCGCGGTTGCCTGGCTGAATAAGATGAGGTTTTCCAGGCATATTTGACCTCGTGACCACCTTGGTAGTAGCGATTACGCCCATTGCGAAGCCGGTTTCATCAAAATTAAAGATATCTTCATCAAGAATGCCGTACTGCATTCGGGTCTTCTAAAGGTTATCAAACCACGCGTTTACGATCCTAGGATCTTCACATTTCGCGCGAGAATGATCATATCGCCTTACAAAGCGAGCTTCGATCTCAGGGCGCCGCTTAACAAACAAGGTCACCCAGTTCTTGTCTATGGGCTTGTATTGAGTTGATTTCTCGCCTTGAAGAAGAATATTGGCCATTTCTTGCACGTGCGAAGGCCTCGGAGGCATTCCACGTGAATCGAGCATAATAATCCATTGAACAAGTGATTCCTCTTGAATGAACGATAATCGATGACAATTTGCGCGTTTTTCCATGCGATAATCGCGTCCCTTGAGGCGCGGCTGGAGGGTCGTACGCGGAATTTGAAATGTCTCTGCTGCGCGACGAACTAATTGAATTGCTTTGTTTTTAATTGCTTGAACAGCTAGTAGAATCCTCCCCTCTTGTTACTCTAATTTTTGCGATAATTGACTTCTTTTTGGTGTCATGATGGGTGGTTGAATTGCTTCATTCAAGACATTTGTGGAGAAATTGAAGTGGTGGCCCGCTTGGTCGGGAATTACGTTAACTAATATGTTGCTTTTATAAATAATTTATATTAAAGATTTAAAAGCTTTAATTAATCAGTTTTTGAATTTTATAATTTCGGTCCTAAAATTGCCGATTAGCTGATAAAACATTACAAATACAATTGTCTATTAAAAGTAACGTGATTCCCGGCCGACCGGTCACCTCATCAAATTTTCCCTTAGCAACCATTGTTTACATTTTTTAAACTACCACAATGCCTCCAAAAAGACCCCAGAAAACACAAAAATTGATTGAGCAAGAGGGTCGTCTTCTACTTGCTATAGAAGCTATTAAGAATGGCAGAATTCCCTCTATTGCTGCTGCTGCCCGCTCTTTTGAAGTGCCACGTACTACCCTCTCAGCTCGAATAAAGGGTCGCCAAAACAAGCATGGGTCAAATGGCCATAAATTTACTCAGCTTGAAAAAAGTTCAATTGAAGATTGGTTAGTCTCTATGGATTCGAGAGGCGCAGCTTTCAATTTGCCTATGTTGCGAAATATGGCCAATTTACTACTCCAATCGCGTGAAAAGACAATCTCTACTACTACCCTTTCTGTTGGAAAAAATTGGCCTACAGAAATCGTCAAACGCCGTCCAAATCTTATAACACGTCTATCTCGCAAATATGACTATAAGAGGGCCCTTTCTGAAGATCCCAGAATTATCCTGCCATGGTTTAAACTGGTTGAAGAAACCATTCAAAAATATGGTATCGACTCGGATGATATTTTTAACTTCGATAAATCTGGATTTGCGATAGGAATAAATACTACCCAAAAAATCGTTACTTCTGCTGATTATCATGGTCGGAGAGCTCTTTTACAAGCTGGAAATCGCGAATGAGTTACTGTAATTGAATGTATAAGGGCTTCTGGAGTCGCTCTACCGCCATATATCATTTTCAAAGGCAAGATATTTAAGCATCGTTAGTTCAATTTTTTACCTAACGAAGCTGACTGGCGAGTTAATGTCTCGAAAAATGGTTGAACAAGCGATAAGATTGCTCTTAATTGGTTAAAATACATTTTATTCCAAATATACGATCAAGAAAGGGAAAACATTGTTTTCTAGTACTAAATGGTCATGGGAGTCATCTTACTCCGGAATTTGACCAGCTATGCTCTGAAAATGATATTATCCCTATTTGTATGCTACCTCATGTATCGCATCTTTTATAGCCACTTGATGTAGGCTGTTTTGCGATTTTAAAACGCTTATACGGAGGCAAGGTGGCGGAATACATGAGACTCAACATCAATTCGATTGAAAAAGAAGATTTCCTAGATATCTTTCCTGAAATGCGATATGACACTTTTAAAGAGACTACTATTCGAAATAGCTTTTTAGCTACTGGATTCGTCCCTTTTAATCCGGATCATGTATTAGAAAAGTTAAATATTTAGCTTGAATCTTTAATACCTCTTGAACCACTACCAAATCGACTACCATCTTCCGGCAGTGATAGCGACTCCAATTCTCTCTGAACACTTAAAAAGCTAGAGAAATCCAAATTTCGCATCGATTCAGGCCTAGAACTTTTATTCGATAATCTCTCTTCACCTACAAAAAGAGAGATTTAGTACCATTACAATATGACAGTCCGATTGTTTTATCACTATCTTTTTCTCTCCGATCGATGCCGCCAGTTAGAAGAAGCAAATAAGAAGCAAGCAAGGAAAAAAATAAAATATAAAAAGCAGATTGCTCACAAGGGTAGTCTGGGAAAGTTAGAAGAGATTCAGGATAACATTGGTGTTGAGAGAAACGGTAATAGTGATTATATATCTTTGGATCCAACTTCTACAGAAGCTATGGTTGAACCTGAATTACCTCAGATGTCTACTATTTGCCGCGAATTTACTTGTTCTGGCTGTAATACGAAAGGACACAGGATTAACCAATGTCCTGAGAGAGTTAGATAGTCAATTTTATTATTGTTTTGGTTCTAAATCCGCGGTTGAAAATTGTGATTTTTTTGAAGTTTTGATGAGGTGACCGGTCGACCGGGATGACCGGTCGGCCGGGAATCACGTTAGTATTAAATATCTGATGCGTAAGCTTTTAGCGCTAATTTGAATATTTAAGTAAATAAGTCCTTAAATAACGTTATAACAGTATTAATTATAATAATTGTGTTCTTATTAGAGGCCTCTAATTGGTTTAAAAATCCAATAAAATTTAAGCGTTTTAGAGCTTTATTTAAGATATATCAAAGATGTAGGTTTTTACGAGCTTGTTTAAAGCATTTAAATGTAGCTGGACCAGACAATTAGTTATATAATTAGATTATCAAATTATTAATATAATGTTAGTTAAATTTATAATTATTTTAATTAAGTTCTAACTTATAAAAATACGTGATTGACCAATTTTAGAATAGTTTAAAATTAAAAGATTCTTCTATTGTAACTTATTATTGCTTTTAAAAGTTCCTACGGCAATTTTCGGTAACTAATTAGTTCGTTTGACTACTATGGAACCGGATTGAAACTTTGGATAATTCCTAAAACGTTTAATCAGATAAAAAGAAATCTAGAATAGATTTAGCACTTATAATCTTTTTAATCTTTTGTAGATTTTCGACCAAAAGTAATTTAGAGGGGATAGGGATTTTACCATTACTTTTAAAAAATTATAAAATTTTTATAATTAACATCATTATTTCAGAAATAAGATTTTCCTATACTATAATATAACATTCAACTGAATATTATCTAAAAGAAGCTTTTAATGTATAATATTAGTAAATAATAATAAATTTTTTTAATTTATTATTCGAAATTAACTTCTTTTGGAAGACTTATAATACATAATAAAAATGCTTTTGATTTGCTACTTAAACTCGGTTAGAGGGAAAAATAAAGTTTTTAACTAAAAATAATATTAAAATTAAACTCATCAATTTGATAATATTCCCTGATTTTTATTTTATATTTTCAGATTAAATCTTGGTAGGTCGGGTTTTCTTTAACTAATAAAATAATAATATATAACTTTAATATTAATATTATATAAAATTAAATAAATATATTTATTTATTAACATAGGGTATCTAACCTTATTAAAATCTATATAGGTCTATAAATGACTTCTTGCAAAGATCTTAGTAAGGTTAAAATAAATTGTTGAATTTAGTTACCTAACTGACTCAGAGTAAAATTAAGTTTATTTTTTATTTTTGATTAGAATAATATTAGAATAGGCTTTAACTAATAGGCTGTAATAAAAGAGATAATAAATTCAGTAAAATAAGTAAAAATTTCAATAATTATATAAAGGATATAAAACGTACAAAAAGTATTAAATAAAATATTTTGGGCTTGTAACTGTTAATATAATTAAATAATTAAACTAAGTTAGAAATTCTTCCATTTTAATTATTTAATAAGGAAAAAAATGAAATAATTAAATAATTTAAATAATTCAATGTAACCCTGATGTAACCCTAATATAAATAATGTAAATAAAACCTGCATCAGAATCTATACTAGGCCTAAAACAGATTAAAATAAGGGAAGTAAGCCTCGATTAATCAATTTTATTAACTTTACGTCTATTATTTAATATAAATGATTCAATAGTTTAAAATTAATACAACATTATAAGGTAATACGAGCTCCAAACCTTTTAAAGTAAAGTTTTCTCTCCATTAATCCGAATACAGTACTAGCTAATTAAGATAAAGTTTATAAATTAAAAAGCTATTTATCTAACGCGAGATAATACTACTGCTATTCTTAATCCAACGACCATAGATTAGAAAAGGGTTAATTAGGCACGGAGGGACGTTAATACAGTAAAAATAAGGTTTTAAAAAAAAGCTTTAAATGAATAATTATAGTAGGAAGGAAATGGACAATTACCGCTAAATCTAAATAAGAAATAGGTTGCGGGAGGGTGCCAGCGGCCAAGGCACCTACACGCGATACTTATACTTGGATAGGCAGGCGGTGACAGTAGGCAGGATGCTTTCAACAAATAGTATAAATGTGGCTGTAAATATTAGTGCTTTATATTAAAAACAGGGTTGCTATCTAATCTATAAAAAATTTATTACTTTCCGGTATTTCTCTAGCGTGAGCTTGGGTATTTAAAAGGTAATATAGGGCGATATAAATATATTTAGCATAGTATTAAATTTAAATAGAATACTTCAAATATTATATTAGTTATATTTTCGGGGGTTTTAATATTTAATATCCTTTTTGTAGATTCATTACGTTCTATTGTAGTTTTCTTATTTTAATCCTGCTAAACAATTTAAATAGAGAGAGAAATGTGTGACATCCTGAAGCCAGGGAACTTCCCGGTGCGGAGGAACGTTCGGGAGGAACGTTCTGGTTAGTTAGTATAGGATCTAGGGACCCTCCGGTAGGCATCCAGGAACCTTCCTGGATGCTTTGCAGATATTCCTGCCTTAGGCGAAGCATCGGGCAGTATATAGAGGCTCTAGATCCTCCCTCCTAGATAGCCTTTCTTCCCCATGGGAAAATTCCTTGACTACGAGTCAAACAAACTTGTCTTTTTCTAAGCTCCTTTGTAGACCGTCACAAAATGGAGGTATATCCTATATTTATTTATTTAAGATAAGGTCTTCATGGAGTAAATTTATAAAGTCATTATTAA